AATTGAAGATATCAACATGAAATGAACAAACCTGAGATAGGTCTACCCAAGGTACATACACACCAAGTATCAAAGCATTCAGGCTTGTAGTTTTCAAGAAGAAGTCGAAAAAGTAAAACATTGACACGGACGACGACGGACAATCACTCATATGATAAGCTCCGCTCGACAAAGTCGACAGCTGAGCTAAAAAAGTGAGTGATAGACATTTTTGATTTGATTTGGTGCACTACTATTAATAACAAAACAGGTGATGCACTCCGGAGACTGTCGTGCAAAATATCTGAGAATTCTAAATCTTAGGAGAAAGTACATGCAGGTAGAAGACAATTGATGGGATTAGATTAAACAATATGCAATAATGTGAAATTAGGGGGGGGTTGCCTATTGCATGTAAGAGAGAGAGGCAAAATTGTGATTTAGTCCATGCTAAGCAAATGTCAACAACAATGAACAGCAAGTGTCAAGTAAATCATCTTGCACCGAGTAGTGTGATTATGAGTTTTGAACACAGTGAGGGTCAGAAATCACTTTCTGTGTATACAGCTATTGCATTATGGTCAATATAATTACTGGATACAATTAGTAATAGCTTAGATGTTCCATGCATATCATAGTCATGCTATTTTAATTAAAAAAACAATTTATTATCACATTGTTTATCTATATTGGTATTAGTTAGAATGTAAATTTGTATTCTTTATAAAATCTTTTCAATATGAAAAGCTGTAAATAACAATATTCAAAACTATAAGAGCATAGACCAAAATACAGAAGGACACTCAAGGTGGTGGTTAGAAGTACCCTGTCACTATCATGTTGTTTCACTTGTGGAAGGACTATTTGGGGGAGGGAGTTTTATACAAAAACTTTAAATAAATATTCCTCAAAATGGTACAAGAACAAATATTTTCCTCATTTTTTGCCTTCATATTCAAATGTCATTTTTACAAAAAATGCAGAGTGTTTAATTTTATGTCTTGTATTGATTTTTACCTCCAAGAAAATGTTTCTTAAAATCCTATTAGTGTTACTTGACCAATCAGAATGCTCAATTGCAAAACTTAACATCTTGTTTTTGAGTCTGACTCAATTTCTCAAGTCTCAAATCTCAATGATGTATACAGTATTTGAAATTTCTCAAAATTGCGAGAATCTTAATAATTGTTTTTTCATAAATTTACTTTAGTTTAACCAGACAAAGAAAATTATGTTGTATTATGTAAGTTTTAATTTTTACTAGCCCAAATGGAAAGTTACCTGTCCCAGACAAACTGGTGGGCAGTAATTGTGTGAATACTCGGCCCATCTAAAAGACTGTACTGTATCAATGGTGATTTCATTAACCACAGATTGTATCAGTTTTAAATCAGTGTCTCTGTTTCACTACATCATGATTAACAATCATCTCTCATCTTCTTGTCTTGTCTGTTTTTTGTAAAGTCCATTTTTCTTCTGGTACTCTTTACTAACATGAGGCACGGCTCCATGCTGTAACTGAAAGTCACACAATGCTCGCAAAGGTCTGGCAAGAATCTGTAACCAACAAGCAACATTGAATGTTAGAATACCGTAACTGAAAATTACACAATGCTCGCAAAGGTCTGGCAAGAATCTGTAACCAACAAGCAACATTGAATGTTAGAATACTGTAACTGAAAATCACACAATGCTTGCAAATATCTGCCATTCACCGTCAAATATATGAGATTGAGATTAAGATTGAGACAGTAATATTTAATTCAGAGCAATAGGTAGGGACAGATTTGATCCGGAATAAACACAAAAAGTAGGTACATATCACATTCGGCAAGGCCCCACCCCTTCAAAGTGCCACTAATATAAAACTTGGTCTTTGATGATTGCTTAACAAATACTGGTAATCGTTTTTATACGATACTGTGCGGATATCGACCGCCATTAGTGAATATGTTGTGAATACTGTAACTGTGTGTACACTATGCTTCAACAATGACCTGTTGATAAAAGTAAAATGCGGTAAATATTTCATGCCATATTCAGTTTACCTATCAAATGCTGGTTACCATTTTTTTTAAAAAACCATGTCGTTTATTAGCCAAAATCAATTTCTAAAGATCATACATCAATAATTCAATTCCGCATTGCGTTACCAGAAAGAATTGCATCAGTAACACAGCATTCTGATTTGTTAATGACAAACTAGACCCATCAGGTCAAAGGACGTTGCTGCAGGTCATGCAAATACATCATGGCGGAAAGTGCTTTTCATCAAGAGTTTGTGCACGATTCAACACATTTGTCAGTGGAGATAATGATGAAGATTTTGACTTTGTTCCAACGTACTCTAATATTTTTGATATCAAATCAAATTTTATTAAATTTCGGGTGGTATGTAATTAATATTGTAATAAAATGTGCATATTTTTTGTGACCATTTCTGTTTCTGCATTGTTAAAGTCAATGACAACGCAACTAATTTCGTAATTATATTTTCCCTCAAAAACATAATATCCCCCTCAAAATGTCACATGGTGAATAAAAATTGTCAATAAAATTTTCCCGAGGGGAGTGCTCGGGTGGGCGGCCACCAATTTTGAGAACCCTGAGTTGAGAACCCTGGGCGCTGACACGGTTGAGTACGGTATATCTTATGAAAAACCTGGTGAACCAACCTGGTGAACATCATGCATTGTCATTGTACCAAGTTTGAAACAAATTGGTCGATGCAAGTTTGAGAAATTGCTCTGGAGGACCCCTCATTATTTTTTAGACTTAGTACAAATGTGGACTAACATATATACATTGGGGTTAAATTATTGATATATAAAATACAAAAACACTACACAGTTTCAGCCGCACATACCAAAGATTTATTTAATGCCCATGTGCACATAGACTCCTATGCGGTGTAAAGCACATTGTAGACTGCATATTCAAATTACAGAGCTTGAAACACACTCCATAGAATTTATGGGTGTATGTGTATATAGGTGCACATCAAAATTGGCAACAATTCTAGGACAGTCAAACCAACCACTTTATAGACAGATGGTTTTTACATGGAGGTTGGATTAATTATATGGACGTCAACTCATACATTTGACATAATATTTGAGTTGTATCCATCAAGTTGATAAAAAAATTAAAAATAATTTTTTTTTTATTAACTGAATGCTAATTAATAATTTGGTCTCTAAAGGAAGACAAACCTGTAAAAATATTGGTTAAAGTTTGGTCACATAAGACAAAGGATCTTTATGCACAGGTTGCTCATATAAGTACATGTACATTATTGTCTTGGGTTGTGTGACTGTATAATGCTAGTACATTTCACTCAAATAGCAATAAAATAAATTCCCTTAAACAAAGCAAATATACCGTAATGTTTGAACCAGTAGCCCGTGTTCCATGAGACAACAGGCATATTGATGACAATAAAGAAGAAGTTCATGACATCATGCGTCTGATTTGTACTCTATGAATCAAACATCCACATAACCACCGTGGACAGTGGATCACTTGCCTCTTTTAACTCTGGTTTCTTTTCTAGTGCTACCAAGGCAACGGCAGCAGCTTCTACTGTTGACAGAGCGGCATCAGTAGGTTGTGTTCTAATCACGTATTCACTGACAACATCCAAAGATAACTTAACCTGCATAGAAATAACAATTCCATTAGTTAGTGCATACTAGTATACCATTAAAATTTGCACCATTCATTAACCAATAGCTAATGACTACAATTTCACACAATTGTCCTCTATGACTAGTGGTAACTACTAATATTTAACATCACTGCCTTATGACTAGTGGTAACTACTAGGATTTCACAACATTTCCATATGACAAGTAGCAACTAGTACAATTTCACACCACTGTCCTATATGACTAATGGTAACTACTACAATTTCACAGCATTGTCATATGACTAGTGGTAACTACCGGTACTACAATTTCACAGCATTGTCATATGACTAGTGGTAACTACCAGTACTACAATTTCACAGCATTGTCATAAGACTAGTGGTAACTACCAGTACTACAATTTCACAGCATTGTCATAAGACTAGTGGTAACTACCGGTACTACAATTTCACAGCATTGTCATAAGACTAGTGGTAACTACCAGTACTACAATTTCACAGCATTGTCATATGACTAGTGGTAACTACCAGTACTACAATTTCACAGCATTGTCATAAGACTAGTGGTAACTACCAGTACTACAATTTCACAGCATTGTCATAAGACTAGTGGTAACTACCAGTACTACAATTTCACAGCATTGTCATATGACTAGTGGTAACTACCAGTACTACAATTTCACAGCATTGTCATAAGACTAGTGGTAACTACCAGTACTACAATTTCACAGCATTGTCATATGACTAGTGGTAACTACCAGTACTACAATTTCACAGCATTGTCATAAGACTAGTGGTAACTACCAGTACTACAATTTCACAGCATTGTCATAAGACTAGTGGTAACTACCAGTACTACAATTTCACAGCATTGTCATATGACTAGTGGTAACTACCAGTACTACAATTTCACAGCATTGTCATAAGACTAGTGGTAACTACCAGTACTACAATTTCACAGCATTGTCATAAGACTAGTGGTAACTACCGGTACTACAATTTCACACTATTGCTGTATGACTAGAGGTAAGTATGACAATTTCACACCATTGACCTGTGACTAGTGGTAACCACTAGTTTTGTTCACTTTCAACTTACTGGTCTGGGTTTTTTAAATATACGATTATTGCTAAATATGCTTCTTGCTTGTGGCCAGGTACCATCGATAAGAATCAAATTGTAGGACTGTCCATTATCTGTTGGTATTGTTTCTATGTCAACAGCATCCGGACAAGGAAACAGAAGTAAAGTATTTGGATTTGAGGTGACTCTGTCAACAAGTTGATTCCTGCAATATATAAAATATCAACAGTAGGTGACTAGATCTATCATTTGGAACCATGAATAAAAAAAGATATGGACATTAACAAAAAATATTCACATATATAACTTTTTCAAACCCAGTTGACTTTTTAAATTTTATTCTTGGCCTACATGTATAACTTTTTGATTAAACAACTGCTGTTGTAATTGGCCAATAGTGAAGACCATTGTGATGAGCCAATAGGAAAGACTTTGTTACCTGGCAAATCTTCGTCCTTTAATGATGTGTACTCTATCTTTTTGTAAACACATATCCAATATCGGTGCTGTTCTTAAAACTCTAACTTCTTCATGTGGATGCTGTATTATGTACAGGGTTGTAGATATTTTTACTCTTTCTTTTGGTAGAAACGGACATAAACACACTCTAGTAGGACGACTATTGAGAACAAAACATAACAGATTTAATACCCAGCATTCTATAGTTTCTCATTTTGTGTGAAGACAGATAGAAACTCTAGTTTTGTTTTTGATCTATTATTTATTAACATTTACATTTGTATTGGTATCAGCAGCAGTTAGCACCCATAATGATGGAAAAGTTTGTTACAAATGTTGACTGTCAGATCATGTAACTATACAAACTATGTAGTTTATGGTCCAATCGAGCAAAGAAAAAATCCAACAATACCATTTTAAATCACGTATATTCATTTGTAGACAATGGCAATGACAATTCGTTTATTTCCTTGAATATTTTCTTAAATACACACTAACGGAATAAAATAATACTATAATGTATAAATATGCAAATAGAATAGGATAGGATAGGATATTTTATTTGGCACATACACAATACAGAGCTAGTGTAAAGTCCAAAATAACACAAACAAAATAAGCTAAAACAATTATAAAACATGAAAAACAAATTTTGCTAGACTACTACAAATAAAAAGATCAGAACTTGAAAGAATCAAAACAAAAATATCCTCTCTAGCTAATAGTTGAAGACTAGGCGCATAAACAAATATGTAGTAGTGTCACTGTTTTTTCGAGGCACGCATCACACCCTAAATTAATATATGTATTGTATCATAAAACAATTGATGACTTTTTTTTATAAATAAAAGGAAATGTGACAACATTGGGTTAACTATAAAACACTTTTGATACCACCTACAGAAATGAAAGTATTGGCTTTGATGATGTAATCGCTTGTAACTTCTCGTCCATTTGCATTGATTCACAACATGCGCGTGTTCCTAGTAGTCTAGCAACAAATAAAAAAAACGACTACCGCTACAGGAAATAAAGAATTTTTAAACTTACTTGCATCTGTCACAAGTAGGCCGTTTTTCTGAAACTTCAACTGGAAGAGCAGCTAATCCGACCAAAACATCATGTTCGTTTACTTCTCCCGAAGACACATCTTCTGAACACGAATCCATCCGGCGTTTATCAACTGCATTGACCCCTGACCTCCAACTAACCCATACATTTAGACTCGTTCAATGTCATATTCTTGTTTGAGTAAGACAATATGTTACAGTTAGATCACCTCAATATAAATACATTTCACAGTTTATAAGTATTATTAGTATGTAGTTAAGACGGGCATGGAACTGGTAAGATTTAATCACAACATCAATTGCGTGAACGAGGCTGAGCAAAAAAGATGGCGGTGTACATAAATGTTTCGTTGTTTTGAAAATACATGGAAAACGCCGAATTACACTGTTCTGACGGTGTTCTTTTCTTTTCAGAGAGCTTGTGGTAAAATTGAAAAAATGGCAACGACGTTGTCAGTTGTTCATTTCATCTTGATCATTGGATTTGGAGGCGTGGTGAGTAAAATTATTTGTTATATACTGTACCAGTACAACAAGGCACTTTTATTAGTCCCTGTTGGGCTCATACCACTAATTGAATTTCCCATAGACGACAATGTTAACATATGACGAGATTGCTATATAAAAATGACGAAGAAAGTTGAAAACATGGTTCAAAAATGGGAAATCAACATGCCAGTAATCAATCATATGAAAAAAACTAACATGTTGGCCAGCTCAAACTCTTACAAATCTCAGGTAAACAAGACACACCTACTGTATTTAGATTGCACCTAGAGAAATCACTGGAAAAACACCAAGATTAGAACATTCAAATCCACACAGAATAAACCCACAGGTACACAGCCGCTAAGTAGTAAACAAAAGACCACATGTTGGTCTCACCTTTGACCCAGGTGATTACGCCCTCAAACAGGGAGCACCTGAGAAAAAAAATATTTAAAAAATTTCATTGGTTCTTTCAAGGCATTTAAATTGAGGGGCTACAAGCAGCCATTGGTTAATTAGTGGCATGAGACCTGTTCGGACGCAGTCCGAAAACGGGGACTTATGAATTGACCTCTGTGCGTTCGTGTGTCTGTGCGAGCGTCCGGACCTATATTTTAGACATGCCTGGACCAATTACATTCAAACATCACACATACATACATAATATTATACCACAGTCCCTCTATCCCCGGTCTGGAAACGGTCATTGTATTAGGTGTGAATTGGCCTCCCTCCCTGGCAAAGGCGCGTCAGTGCTATGTGTTTTTTTAAAACTTAGTTGTTTATTCCAGAATTCAAGCTTTTTCACATAATTTTTTAATCACGATATCTGTGTAAGGTCATATTTTAGCCGGCGAGTAGTTCTTTAATTCATCTATTTTACCAGCAGCGACACATTTTTGCAACAGATTTTCATACCTTTACACCCAGAAACTTTTTGTGTATGATTTTGGGGTGATTGAAATGAACTCTATTTTATTTACCCTACTTCTCGGCGCGAAACCAATATTTGCCTTCGATTTTGACATTTTATGGTCAAAACATATCATTAAAAATTGGTGGGCTGATTTGTTATTACCGTATTACCCTTGGCACGCGCCCAGGGGCCTGAACATACAAAATCGGGAAAAAATGGGGGTGGACGCTTACCCGAGGACCACCCCAAAAAAGATTTTAAAAAGTTGTTTTTGTGATCGTATGATAAGGTCAAATGAAGGAATGCTTTCGTACACTTTGTACACGTACTTATTTCTTGATTTATGCGAGGTTTCAATAAACGTGAGCATTCGGTCAAGAACTGTGGGAACACTAAGACACGGGGTCGAATTTCAAGAATAAAACTTGTTTTATGTCAGCGAATGAAGTTGTATTACTCACTGAAATTGGCTACAAAGTATGGTAAGTATTGTAATCAATGCACGGTTACTTTTTTAGTAACCGTGATCAGTGCATACAAGTCGAAACGGCCGGAAAACTACCGCTTG